ATGCGATTCTGCCTCCCAACGTTGCCGTTCTCTGCTCCAGTTCAAACGTTGATGACAGTGGTCCGTAGTCAGAGGAAGCACCAACTGTGGACGGCATGAAACAAAGTCCAAAGGCTCGAATGCGGCGATAGGATGCACCCATAGTAAAAGGTCTACCTCCTTCTCTAAACTCAGCGATTTGACTCGTAGTAATAAAACGGTTTCGTGGGGCTGAAGCGCCTATCTTGACGCTCTGTGGTACGCCTCGGCGGACCAGTTGACCTTCATGTTCCTCTGCCTTGTTCTATCCGCACACGACACACACGCATTACCGTCATTGCAGTACAGTTAACACGGCGACCAATTTCGCGATAGGACAAACCAACATCTCGATACGCAATTATTCTACCCCTGTCAAAGTCGCTGAAGCAGCGTTCTCACTAGTCGATTTTAGTAGAACGATTTCTATTGATCAACAAAAACTTGTGAACCGTGTTTCGATTTTAGTTGACCAATTCTAGTTGAACCGAAAAAGTGTGATCCATTCAAAACTTATCGATCAATTTAATGCGTCATAGACGATTTCAGACAAGTTGAAACGGATTTGAAGCGTGTGAACTGTAGTCAGTCGAGTTTCGCATTGAATAAAGTTGATTTTATGGCTCGTGTGCTTGTTGTGTGTGGAAAAAAAGACAAAAAATGAGCATGAAGTGGGCTGAAAGTATTGTGCTACATTTTTGGATTTATATCAACAGCATGACTGTTTATGGAATACCCTGCTCGAGCGTAACTATCATCGCAAAAGAAATGGAGAAAGTAGATCTTCTCATAATGGTATCTTGTTTTGCATTTTGCTTTTTATCTTTAGAAGAAGTCCTTGAAATTGTTCTTCGGACATTCTCAAATGATTTTTTGTAGACATCCTTGTCCTCTAATGCCAGCTCCTTGAGCAGGGTTCCTGCAACGCAGAATTGATTTCTTCGCAATATCCAAGTCCTGACCCAAAACCGACGTTTTCTAGATTTTCTGTCAAATTTTGACAAAATGTCTCTGATTTCTTCATTTAATATACTAAGTGACATATAAATCCGAACACTGAGTTTAAGTGGTTTTATTTTAATAAAAGTTGGTGAATGTATTTATCTTACTGTAAATAACAAGTGAACAAATTTTCAGCCTTATCAGTTGGACATTCCGGTTTTTATACTGCTTTTTTTTTAATTCACTAACGCTCTAAAAATGAATATTTCAGCCGCAGTAAAGAATCAACGTTGGCGGATTTTGGTTCTTGTCATCCGTTACGATGCCTAGAGTACGGCGACCTGTACGATTTCGTCAACTTAGTGAGTTTGACAGGGGTCGTATAGTGGGACTTCGGGAAGCTGGACTTTCTTTTCGGGCAACTGCAGTTAGAGTGCAAAGAAGTGTAGACACTGTGGTTAGGTGTTGTCAGGCATGGCTTCGAGAAGGCCGTACGCAAAGAGCAAGGGGCACTGGACGCCGCCGTAGAACAACAGACCGTGAAGATCGCCGCCTAAGATTATTGGCCTTAAGGGACCGTTTCTCCACTACCAGGTCCATTGCAAATGAATGGTTTGCAGAACACGGAGGACCTATTGGCATGCGAAGTGTTTACCGACGAATGAGAAGTTTTGGCTGGTTTTCATACCGGCCACACTGGGTCCTCCCTTTAACTCAAGAACACCGACGTAATCGCCTTGAGTGGTGCAGACAACGGTCACTCTGGGATCAGGAATGGAACAGTATTGTCTTTAGTGACGAGTCTCGATTTTGTTTAGGCATGCACGATGGTCGTTCCAGGGTTAGAAGGCGACGTGGTGGAAGGAGGAATCTACAGTTTTTTGTTGAAAGACATGTTCATCACACTGTTGGAGTTATGGTTTGGGGTGCTATAGCTTATGGTTCCAGGTCACCTTTAATCTTCATCAGAGGTAACATGAACGCGCAGCGTTATATCCACGAAGTTCTAGAACCCCATCTTTTACCCTATCTCGACACCCTGGCAGATCCAACTTTCCAACAAGATAATGCCCGACCACATATTGCAAGAGTCACAATAGACTTCTTTCAACATAATGATTTCACATTGTTACCATGGGCACCAAGATCTCCCGACTTAACCCCAATTGAGCACGTGTGGGATATGATGGGTAGGAGATTGCTCAATTTGCAACGTCCTCCTCAGACTCTAGAAGCACTTCGAGAGGAGTTGGTGGTTGCCTGGAATGAGATACCACAGGAGGACATTGACCACCTGATCAGAAGCATGCCTAGGCGCGTTGGAGAATGCGTAGCACATCAGGGTGCATCCACACATTATTAAAGGTCAAAGGGCTTTAAAGCAGTGCAATCATTTTGAAATTTTTATCATTTACTTATTATGCTTCATTAAGTACTTATACAAAATTTTATTAAAATAAAACCATTTAAACTGGGTAGCCATTTTAGAAACAATCAGCGCCTCATCTTTTATTATGTGTGTGAACAAATATTCGTTTCGATTTAAGTTGATCAACTTACGTTTTTTTTTATACTCCAACTACCACGAAGACCTAAGGCCTAAACACCCATGAGTACCGTGGGGCTATAAGGGGATACAGGGGAAAGGGGAAACGCCACACGGACTCTGGCGAGGGAACACGTGTGCATGCAACATGCACACATTCTGGCTCCGCCTACGAGATCCGCCGGGAGGTACCTCCGCGTTCGACAGTCGGAGACCGTCTACCACCTACGGACAATCACAACATCCATAGCCAAGAGAAAAATTTCTCCTGGGACGGGATCGAACCCGCACAGAGCACGGCGACTGATCAGGAGATCGAAGAATCTACTACAACGACTCGTGAGAACGCTGCTTTACATGGTGATAATTTGGGCGTTTTCGCACTCGAGGCATTTTGTTATGCTTAAAATATCTGTACTACACAGCTCTCAGAAACTGCTTACTTTACAAGAACTAAGAGATAACGTTTTAACAAAGGGAAACAAAAACAAATATAAAACGTTGACATTGTCGCCACGGCATACTCATTATGTTGCCAAAAAAAAAACAAGTTGAGCAAATTATTTTTTCTTGGTGTAAAACTATATTATTGTGTTCCTATCAAATATTCCTTAAACATTATCATCCTCTACATAATACACCTCCTTGATATCAATTTTTCTTTTAACTTTTTTGTTTTGAGTTTAGAACACATTCCAACATAGAACCGATCCATGTACAGGTATTTTTTATATCGAAGCTGCCGTGCAGGCAGAAGCCTAAATGCCGGAACACCGCGGCTGCTATGATGATCCCAAAGGAATTTTGTTGATACGATTTTTGAACTGCCTAAGGTTAGTAGAACTGGGAAAAGCTCCCTCTTGTAGATTGTTCCACAATCTCGACACCCTCGGGACAAAGGAGCGGTCGTATCGGTTAGTTCTGGATGTACGAATTCGACACGGTTAGGATGGGACGCCAAAGTCAGGCGGGTCTATCTGCAAGCACATCGCGCGGCGGCATCATGGAAGAGATCCCTGAGGAGCAAAACTCGCTGGTGTAGCGATAGAAAAGAGCTAGATCGCCGACGGCCCGCCGATGCGAAAGAGTCCCGAGACTGTCAGTTACAGAAGAGTCATCGATCAGTTGGACCCCCCTCCTCCGGACAGCATCGATCATGGATTTTTGGCATTGCGAACCGCTTCGTTATATCTGTTCCTAGACTCAACGACTTGTCTGCTCTCTACAGTGGGGTTTTGTAAGAAGGTTCTGTGTGCCTTGATTTTCTGCTGGCGAGCAGTGTCGCACGATTTGTTAAACCAGCCGTTGGACCCTGGTTTAGGAACTTTCACTGTGTGAGGGATGTATTCCTCCAATCCGACGTGGATAATTTCTGTTATCGAAGAACAGACAGCCGACGCATCCGCGTCAGTGAAACAGACATCTCTCCAAGGAAAGCTAGAGGAGAAGTCTCTGAGCCCCTCCCAGTCGGCATGTCCGTAATGCCAAGTTTTGCGGCCTGTACCAGTTTCTGCTGCCACATCGGGTTCTGACCTAGCCCTAACCTCCACAACACCGTGGTCCGAGGGGGACAGGACAGCAGTGCTGTAAGGAACAGGATGCGTGGTCAGAAAGAGATCCACCAGGCTACTGGCGTATGACGAGACGCCGGGGAAAAAAGTAGGGGTCGTCACCAGCTAGGTCAGCCCTTGAGTAAGAGCGAACGCTTCGACTGCAAGACCTGCTGCATCGGTCTTGTTTGAGCCCGACCAAAGCTCATTATAGCATGGTCTGATTCCAAAGAAACACCTCTGGAGCAGGAAAGACTGCTGCGGACAAAAGCCACAACTCCCCGTTCTTTCTCAGATTGGAGTGCACCTCGTAGTTTGGGAAGTTGAGATGGTTAATCGGTGCAAACTGAGATTCGTGTCTCCGGCAAGAAAAACACGGCGGGACGATTGGTTTGCAGATAGTGATGAACAGCATCAATGTTGCTGTTAATCCCGCAGATGTTCGAAAAACAAATTTTATCTTCTTGTTCTCTCGAGCCCACCCACCACCCGGACATTCCGAGAGTGGAGTGAGTTTACGTCCGGAGTTTTTAGTGCTCGAGGGATCCATCATCATTAATTTCTTTGTTTTGGTAGATAACCGACTGCATAGCTTGGGTGTGGAAAAATGCGGACATTTATAAGACACCCTGGGAAAACCTAGTGGGTGGTACCGCCTCGGTCGACTGGTCCTTGTCTACCACCTTCTTTTTACGTGTTAGTGATATTAAATAGACCTAAAGTGGCCCGTTGGCGGACTTGTACCGCAGCCCGGCAATTGGTACTGAGGTATTCCTTAAGGCGTGTACAATCAATTGAACGGGAAGAAGTTGTATACTGGATACAACAACTTCCGGAACAAGCAGGCATTGTCCTTCCATGGATTGAACCATTTATTTACCCATCCTATGTTGTTATTGTCCTTATATAATGGAGTAAATAAACGTCTACTACCACCACTACCTAAAGGTAATAAATCTAGCATGTCACAAGTTTATGTCTGAATACGTATAATGCACCTGCCTTTTCGGGCCTAAAATTGTTAAATTGCAGATATCATCGCTTTTTGATGAATAAGCAATTAGTAATATCTATATGAGTATCTCTTTTTTTTCAGTCAGTTAAATGCAGATACCTTTGAAGGCCTGACGGATGTCAGTTTCCTGAGTCTAGCGGACAACAACTTGGAAGAAGTTCCTTCACACCTTTGGAACAGGATGTCCGGGGTTAAGACCATAGATATGGGAAGGACGAAAATTAAAGCGTTATATAACAGTAGCTTCGAAGTAAGTACATTCTATTTTATAGATAACGATTTTTGTCAATAAAGTCGTACTAATGAACCCATAAATGAAAATAAATTCTTATCAGACTATTTTCACGCGTCTGGGTGAAACCTAAACACTACAATAATAAAATATACAGGGTGGCGCATCGAAAACGAAACAGACGCATTTACTCGCAGCTCAGTTTTTTTTTGGGAAAACGCTCAGAACCGTCGATTTTCGAGGGGGCACAAGTTTGGCAAAAATTCACGTTAACACGTGTAGCCCCCTGGGCAGGGGTGACACCACCCTCAAAATCTTAAATGGAAAAGGGGGTCGAGTGATACCTTATTTTAAAGGTCTTTCAATTCCCTTTATAATGATGTAAAATACATGAGCTTCAGTTCAGTAGTTTTGAAGATTTATTAATTTAAAGCTTAAAGTAGTTAGTTTGTACTACTTTCAGAAGAAATTTGACTAAAAGAATTTACTTAATAAGTAAACGCTTTTCTTCACTACGCCCATGGTTTGTTTATCATTTTATTGTTGAAAATAGCTATTGGAGCGTTTTTTGTGGCAAAAAGTTATTTCTTGAAGAAAGATAAGGAAATATCTCGTACTTATTTTAAATAGGAATTTAGTACATAGTTTTCGGTTATTTTGACCAAACTTTGTTGCTAAAATAACTTGTAATGCTGTATCGCATAAATTAACCATGGTATATTCCACAACAGAAATAGTTGAAATAATCGAAATATTTTTTGGAAATAATCAGTGCGCTAATAGAACAGCAGAAATATTTAATGAGCGACATGAGATCAGTAACGTGCATCGAAAATATTTTCTAGAACTTGTAGCTAAATTTTGGGAAACTGGGTCAGTCGCCAATAAAAAACGCAACATTGAAAATCCTATAAGGAACGAAGCAATAGAAGTGGGGGTTTTAGGGCAAGTTTATGTAGATCCTACGTTAAGTACCCGCAAATTGGAGACTGCGTGTGGTGTTAGTCGATGTACTGTCCAACGGATTCTAAAGGCCCTAGTTTTCATCGGTATAAAATTCACCTGGTACAAGAACTTAATGCAAGACGATTTTGATCAGCGATTACAATTTTGTGAAGATATGAGTGAACGAAGTATAAACGATGAGCATTTTCTATTCAACACTTGCTTTTCCGACGAATGTTCCTTTTTCTTAAATGGCGTAGTAAATTGTCATAACTGCCGATATTGGTCCGATTCTAGTCCCAGAATTTAACATGAGGTTCATACAAAGCAGCCACAAAAATTCATTTAGTAGGTCCTTTTTTCTTAACTGAAAATTTGACCGGTGAAATGTATTTGGAATTACTGGAAGACGCCATACATCCTGCATTAACAGCCATAACTGAAAATCAGAATGATCGGCGGTACATTGCGAATAGGTTGATGTTCCACCAGGATGGTGCCCCACCACATTACGCATTACGTGTTCGACAATATTTAGATCAGACGTTTCCAGATCGATGGATTGGTAGAAGAGGTGCCACTGAATGGCCCCCAAGATCGCCAGATTTATCACCTTTGGATTTCTTTATGTGGGGTCATTTAAAATGCAAAATCTATGCAACTCAGCCAACATCATTAGAAGACCTGCGAAAAAAAACTGTGAATGGGTGCCTTCAAATTACTCCTCAAATATTGCAAAATATGCGGCAACGTTTTGAGCAAAATCTTTATTATTGCATGGAGAGTCATGGTGGCCATTTTCACCATTTACTTGCCTAACGGGTCAGTTCATTCTTCATTTTAAATTACTTTGCTGCCAATGTATTGATCTCCACTACTGATGATGTATTATATAGTTTTATTTAAGCTTTAAATCAATAAATCTTCAAAACGACTGAACTGAAGTACCTTAATTTTATATCATTATAAAGGGAATTGAAGGACCTTTAAAATAAGGTATCACTCGACCCCTCTTTCAATTTAAGATTTTAGGGGTGGTGTCACCCCCGCCCAGGGGGCTGCACGTGTTATCGTGATTTTTTGCCAAACTTGTGTCTCCCTCGAAAACAAAATCGACGGGTCTGAGCGTTTTTCCAAAAAAAAAACTGAGCTGCCAGTAAATGCGTCTGTTTCGTGTGCCATCCTGTATAGAGGAAAGCAACCAAATTTGAGATACTTTTTGTAAAAGGAAAAATAAACGACTTGTTGTTTTAAACGAGCGTATATTAAATAAAAATGCGATTTGATGCTCCTAGCATACTCTAAAATAAAAAAATAATAATGAATGTATCTTTTACTGACAAAAACTATATTTTAAAAAAACAGTAAATCTTTTTGCGAATTTACGCTGGCTCCCTAATTTGAGATACTATTCAAAAAATCCCCTTCCTTGGCAGAAAGTGCAAATGAAAATTTTATTGGTAATCTCTTCACAATCTTCATGTGCCCATCTACTACAATTTTGCCAATTTTTCACCCTTCTTATCTTCGGAAAATCGACCAGTACAAGATAAACATTCAGCATCGCTTTCACCGCTTCCGTCTTAAGATGAATCATCCAAGTTAAGGCTTCCGCTGCATTCTGAACTTGAACTGGAGGGGGAAGGTATCTATAAGAATCCTTCTGAGGCTTTTAAATAACCCATCTCCTTAATCTTTACAGCTGTACACTTGGGTATCTCAAATTAGGAATCTTCTTTACACAAGTATATTTAGGTTATATACCTAATAAAATCACAATATTGTAAAAGAAAATAGATAAGGTATTAGTAACCTACTAAATTTATATCAGACATCTGTCCTAAACTGTATCCATCGAAGAAACAAAGTAAAATTAAACATATACACCCGTATTGCACGTGATCAAGAACTTAACCGTAGGAGACGCTACAGGGCCGTATCAAGCTATTGTGACTGATCTATCAAAAAATATCGTACAAGATATGTGTTGCTGTAAATTCTATCAAAAGCATAGTAAATTATCAGGAATATACCACGCCTTTCTAATCATATTTCGACATTAGGAATCAGTGCAAAAATTCTGTATTCACCACCAGCAAAATGTTACTAAAACGCACACGAAAAAAACTTGTGGACCATCTCAATTGAAATTGTTCATATTTTATTATTAACTTACATATATACCCAATAATATTTACAAATCAACCTTCTATTCACAATGCAGAGCAAATTTTTTTGAGCAAATAGAAACTACAGACGTAGTAGTAGTAGTACAAAAGTTTATTACAGACTCCATAAAGTTTGTTAGTTTGATTGCTATTAAAATTTACATGAGAAATAGGAAGAAGGTCAAAATGGCACTATTATGCTTTGGAACTCCTAAATTAACCCTAATTTTGTGTAATTATAAATTTGGAATTTCCACATTAATAACTAGAAACTTACACTTTGATTGCAGTCTATAATGAACTTACCTGTCTTGCCAAAAAGTCCGTTAAACTGCCAGTCTTAATGGTATCAATCGATTTATATGCTGTATTCCGAGGAGCTTGAATCATCAGAATTGTTGATGTCAATTATAAGGGATTCAACTTGGGTGATATTGTCCATATCCCACATTTTGGTTTCAACCTTCTCTTGGACATGGTCAATACATGTTCTCCATTTTGCTGGCGTAATTCTATCGACAGCAACATCAAACAGTTTTTTAAGGTCAGAAAATTTAAAAGTGCTGTTATTTGACGCCACGTATTGCTCGATGTCGGCTCAAATCAACTCGATAGGATTCAGTTCGCAGTGATAGGGAGGCAGCCTGAGAATCGTTTATTTTGGTTTTTGGCCATTTCGTCAACAATTTTTAAATCATATTTATACTTATGTCGCTTGACTATATTTATCAGCTCAGCTTTGACCATTGTTTGGTCGAAGTCGATCTTCTTTGAAGCCACTGTTGAATGTTTGCCTTTTTGGTGGCCATTGTTGGAATTTTTTCCAATTTTCTGGAGTGGTACGGGGCATTATCCATCACAATAATTGCGTTATCATCAAGTGTCAGCAAAATTTTTTTGAACCAATTTTCAAATGAGTTACCATCCATTTCTTCGTGATAGTCTCCAGTTTTTTTGGATTCAAATGCCCACAATGCTTCAGGAACAAATCCATCTACGCTACCTATGTGGCAAATGATCAGGCGTTTTCCCTTGCCTGAAAGTAATTAGTTATTTTACTTCTCAGCGAGCGCACTAAATGACGAAATTAAGCAACTTACTCTTTTTAGGTTAGTGTAGGATAGGGTCCTAGATTAGTTTTTGGGTGAAGGAAATACTCAGAAACTTGGATGAGATAGCAAAACTGAGTTCGGAGCTTCCAAATCATTGATTCGATCAGAAAATGAATTATCTGCATCCAAAAAAGTTCATATACTTCGAAACTTACCTGCAGGATTTTTCAATCCCGTCGAAAGGCCATCTAAAAAAGCCTGCCTTGAGGACCTCACAGATCTGTCTACCCAAACCTTTCCCTGCGTATGCCCCGCGTTCACCCATGTTTCGTCTAAATAATAAATTTTTCTTCCTTCAGCGCGGAATTGCCTAATTTGTCTAAGGTATTCTCTCCTCCAGATAACAATTTCCTCCTTTTCTATCAATAAACTATTCCTTCCTCTTTTCAAAAATCGAAAGTCTAGTTCTTTCAACAGCTTATGGAACGTAGATCTTTTAAAATTTGGCAGGTCCTCATCATCATTCACTTGCTTCAATATTTTATCTATTGTAGGTATTTCATTCCTGAAGAAAAAGTGATGTACTTTTCTTCTAATGGCACTTTTGTCAAAGTCATCTATTTTTTCGATGATTTTTTTTCTCGTTGGATATGTTTTTGGCTCAGATAGTGAGTGATTTTGTCTATATTCCTTCAAGATTTTGTAAACACTTGATCGACCTACTCCAGAAATTTCAGCAACCTTACATACGATATTTTCTATAGCCAATCCACTATTCTCTTGCATCTGGTTCTTGTAGATATTTAGAATAATTTGTTTTTCACCTGCGCTAAGATGAAGCTTTTTAGCCCTT